CTGAGTGGAGCTTATGTACTCATGTACAGTCCTGGAGTACTGTGAGCCCAGCCTGTGTGATGTGTCCCCCGGGGGGAGGGGCATCCTGGGCTGACAGGAAATGGGCAGAATGACATAACTTGGTCTGAGGAGGATCGCCTCTCTGGGTAAAGGCCGTGACACACTGCACGCGAAGCAGTGCGGAGCGGTGGCGTCACTTTCTTCTCGGCACCTCAGCTGGCAAGAGCTCGCGGAGCTGAGCGTGCCGAGATGAACAATTTCAACTTCAGCCAATCGGCTCGCGCGTATAAACCGGCGCGACGGGATGCGACGTCTGGCCGGTTGTTACAGACGAGCCGATTGGCTGAAGGTGCAGTCAATCATCTGCTCACACACTGCACGTGCCGGAGAACTTTGCTGCGCTCTGCACGGCTTCGCGTGCAGTGTATCACGGCCTTAACTCCACTAGACCAGCACAGTAAAAGACTGACATTCCTAAATGTAGAGATCCAATCATTTCTTTCCCTTTAACCCCCCCCCACCCCCCGAAAAGGATCAACTTCTGGGGTACCCTCTCCACCCTCCAGTGCTGTCCTCGGTCCAGTGTTGGAGTATGGAGAGGGTAACCGGGAATGCGTTTCCTTTTTTATATTTGGGGGTAGAATGAAGATACTGGAGTTCTATGTGAGGAAGGAGGTTCTATGCTGTGCCATGTGCTGGTTCCGGCCCCCCTCGCCCTATCCCGCCCCCGATCACAGCGACCAATCAGATTTCAGTCATGATAAATCTCAATTCTAATCTGTCCAATCCCATGGAGGCGCAGAGACACTTCCTGTATCCATGGAAGTGATACAATGTATAATGTGTATATACGGGAGCGGGCCGTACCTTCCCATCCACATACACCACTCGCTTCCCGGACGTCGTCCCGTGTTCAAACTCAATCTTATGGACGCCGTCGCTGAGCGCGACTTCCCACACCGCCACCAGGTCCGTCATTTTCTCCAGCCGGCCGTAGCGCGATCTGTAGGGAGACGGAGGGGGAGGTTACATGTGGTACAGGGGAGGCCCGGCCTCGGCACAGACAGATTACCGGACTCAGTGACAGGATGGCGGGGATTACAGCACACAGCTTAGACGTTTACAGAGGCAGAGACGCACAGCGCAGGTGAGGAGGAGACATGCGTGACACCAGACCATCAGACATGCGTGACACCAGACCATCAGACATGCGTGACACCAGACCATCAGACATGCGTTTATTATAGAACATCAGAAATAGGAGAGAAAACGAGGATACAAATAACAGATTTCATCACATGACTTCCTGACAGTGACGAGGATCCGAACCGGAGAACACATCACATGTAACCATAGCAATGAAACGATACAGGACGGGGCCCCCAGAGGACGGAGATACAGGACCAGTGCTAATACAGACGGGGCCCCAAGAGCACCAGGGCCAATACAGACAGAGGGACCCCAGAGCACCAGTGCCAATACAGGACGGGGGCCCCCAGAGCACCAGTGCCAATACAGACGGGGCCCCCAGAGCGCCAGGGCCAATACAGGACGGGGCCCCCAGAGCGCCAGGTCCAATACAGGACGGGGCCCCCAGAGCGCCAGGTCCAATACAGACAGGGGCCCCCAGAGCGCCAGGTCCAATACAGACGGGGGCCCCCAGAGCACCAGTGCCAATACAGACGGGGGCCCCCAGAGCACCAGTGCCAATACAGACGGGGGCCCCCAGATCACCAGTGCCAATACAGATGGGGGGGCCCCCAGAGCACCAGTGCCAATACAGATGGGGGGCCCCCAGATTTGACAGACATAGCCCCGCCCATCGCAGGCACGGATACATGAAGCGTGCGGTAACCTGTGCAGGAGCCGTGTTGGTGGAATGGATATCAGTACCGGGCTCATTCATTGGATCAGAGCTGCTCACATCATCTGAACTGCAGCGATCAAGTTAAAGAGGAACTCCGGTCTAAACAAAATCTTTTACATTGATCCCAATAGACTTGACGATGGAATTGGGGGGTGGGGGGGCGTGCTGTGCCCCCTCTACTGACACCGGAGGATGGG